GAGTAGCCAGAGAGTTGTCAGAATAAACCGGCAGTTGGCCAGACCAGGACTACGAAGGTCACCAGCTGTACAAACGGTTTCGTGCATGGTATATCTTTAAAAAAAAGATTTCAAACAAGTGATCACATCTCCGGTCATTTAACGCTTGTTGAATGAGTCCAAGGTCCTGAAAATTCATGATTTTGGGTTTCTGTTAAGGTAGGAGTCTAAAAATTGTTTGCAATGTGAGGCGATTTAGGAATTTCCAATTGGAATTTCGTCCTGTAACTGTCACTCGTCAGGCTAGTAGTCTGAACACAACCGTTCGGCCAGGGGTCGCCGGTCGTCTAGTTAACACGTGACCAGATGATGTGCATTCCGCGACTTGAGGATGAGTAGCGCTGTGTCCTGTCTATGTGCGAGCTAATCCCACTGCTTGTCAGTCCCTATTAGCCGAACTTTTAGGTGTTCGGCCACTGAACGGGAGGTCACAGGTTGTAACTTGTGAGATGCGCGCTGCTGATGATTCCCAATATGGGTGGAGCGGCTGTACATTGATTATCGACTTTTCGGCATAGATTGCCTTCATCGGTAGGGTGAAGTGTCAGTTGCAAAGGCCAGATTCTGTTGGATTAACTGTCTGCTCGCGAACTGGGCATCACCTGAGCCATATTTGAGAAAAGTTTCCATCCGATCTTTTTATGTATTTTGGCACTCCATCTAACTGTTCGCAGTTTGGATGAGTTAATTGGCTATTGATGGTTTTCCAGGCTTGTGAGTTAGTTTGCAAACGCTTCTTTAGTGCGCTTATTTGGTTTCATACTCGCTGAAGAACAATATTGTTGATACGATCGCCACCGCTGAATTAACACAATGTCATACAGTAGTGTTGGAACAAAGAAACAGTTTACATAGGAACGAAGATGATTGTGTAAAAGAGAGGGATAATAATGACGTACTGCAATCCATCTGAAGATAGGATACCGGGGAGAAAAGACTCTTAACTCACCTTGCAACTGATGAGAAGTGACAGTCAGCATTCTCCAGAAGTTTAGACCCCCTTTTTGAGGCACTATTTTCCTATGAATATAACGACCTTTAATATCGGTGGCACAAAATCAGTGTACTAATGACAGTCCAGTATATCATTATTGTATTCAGTGTAATTTTTGTAAGATATTAGGTGTGGTGCGGCATACCATTGTGCAGTTGGACATTCCAACCTCTCTACAACGGCGTCGCTCTTTTTTGAGAAGTAGGAATACTGATAGTCAAGGATGCCAGTCAACTGAATAATCGGATATTGCAGCATGCCGGTCTCCAACTTTATGAAGTAGGTGAATTTCAGTCTTCGAGTTACTATTTACCCACGACTAAGTTGAACGTACTTGTTTGCGCCTGGCTTCAGCAGTGGCATGTCATGATTCAAGCTGTTTATGTTTCTTTTCAATTATACTGTATTTACTCGCGGAAGATATGGAATTTGTAAGCTTTCCGCTACCCTGTGTGGAATTTCGGTCTGCACGTTAACAGCAACTAAATCCCGACCTTCGTGAGCATTCTGGTGCTGAGATGACAAGGCTGTGTTTGATCTGGACGTACTCCAGTACCGTTAGTAGCAACGGATGTCAGTGCGCACGGCCACATGTAATCATAAGAACTCTAGGTCACTTTTGTAAGCTGACGTATGTAAGCCAATAAAAGTGTTTTCTTGGGAAATAGCATTATCTAATGACCCTACACCGAATTTTTCACACCGGCACCAGGTGTAACTGGGATAGTGGTGTCCAGTGTAGGCCGCTGGAAGTCCGGTGGTTTGTGACACACTCACCTGCCAAAGCTATCTCGTACCCTGATATATGCCGTAATAGTTACTGGCCTCGATCACGTACCTTCACTACTTACACTGTCACTTCGCTGGTTTCTGAAATGATGTACTAGATAGTCATCATGACAAACTTTCTACATTGTGTTCGCCAAAAAGATGCACCCAGTTAGTTCAGCGATGATATACTGGTGAAAATAAGCAGCAGGTTTTCAAGGAGCTTTGAACACATATCTGGCTAGTGTAGTTAATTTACCACTTTTGGAAGACCATTTTCCTGCTTGTCGTGACGATCATCATGTATTTTTGGATTACACGGATTGAAGCACAGAAAAGTGCCCAAGAGAATATTGTAGCTCAACCAACACAGGTGGTCTGTGGTTTGTTCGTGTAGCTAAACAGCTTACTTAGAAAGCGTCTCACTGGCAACTGAGTTGGTATGGGCGACGTAAGTTGCTTGGTTGTGTGTCTGTTAGCATACGTGCCGCTAGTAATGGTTGACCTTCAATCATGATTGATTATTTAACCTAGCGATTCCATTGGCTAGTCCTCTAGCCTGTGCTCTGATTGGTCGGAGAACATGGCCATGGAGGATGAAGAGGAAACAACCCCAAACTTCTCAATAAACGCTTGTGAAGCCAATTCGAAAGCCATAGCATAGCAAGTTCAAGGTCGAATGTGTGCCCAAAATTTCGAAAGGAAGTTAATTGAAACAAATCGCAAAAAATTACGGCAGATGAGGGTGCTTTTTGGACTGAGCACATATGCGAAGAAATGTGACATTCTGACGTAAAAGTTTTTATTTCACTCGCAAGGGTTTTGCAGAAATATGGACTGTGCGTCCAAGGCGCGGCGTGAAGGTTTGTTTCTTGTTGACCCGATGAGTTATACCTGGGGGCGGGCTGCCAGTGCAACACTCACAGGTACTCTTACCAGGTTTTTCAGTGATTAGAAGTCTGGTCAACACAGACCATCGGTCCTTCAGGTTGTTGGTTGGAACATATGTTGCAACTTGTTCTTGAACGCGGTAACCCATTGGTGTTTCCCGCCAAACAGGCCTCTGAGCCGAGTGCTTTGGTCAGGGGCGACAATGGTCCTCCTGTCCCAACCCACATGCGACCATGATTCTTGCAAAGCAAAGCATCAGTGCTCAACACTAATGTTAAGTTCTTAATGAGGATGATGATGATAACTCCCTGAGCTGAACTTGGGTATCTGGTTACTTTGACAAGCTCCGCCCCTCAGTGGCGTCTCGAATATCACATCACCTTGAACACCGCCTTTACAAGCTGTTGCACCACCAAATTGTCATTCATGGACTTTCATCCCGGAAAACGCTCAGACATTGACTTATTATCAATGATAACCATAAAGCCAGCGAAACCAGTCCTCGTCAACCTGTTTCCAGATCAGTCCGCACAAATTCACCTAGAGTGGAGTAGTGTCGCCTTAAGTGTGACGTCGCAAATAGCTGTACTTTGCTGTACACCGCTTCGGTCTAGTACCTAGCCGCGGTGCTCGGAGGCAGTTGGGCAGTGTGACGAGAAAGCCCTCGGTAGCCTTGGTTCGCGAGATCATTTGGGAGTACAATTAACGTATCATGGTGTTTCAAGGCTCAAAAATTTAACTGCACAGGCTATTCAGTATGATGTTCATAGGAGTCTTTTATTGAAATATTCAAACAAAAAAATCAATAAGCCTACAAACCCTTTTTCGTTTATATTTCACAAATAAGTGGCCAATAAGGCCTCTCGTGGTGTGTTGAGCCTAGGGACGGTGGTTTAGTTGACAAAGAATAAGTAAAGGACGGTGTGATTTAAATAAAAAAACAATACGGAAGTTTTTTTCATAAAGGAAACTGCTCACAAGACTGCTCTTCGATAGCTGCGACCGGTTTCGCCCTTCTTAGGGCTCATCAGGTGGGCGCAGTCCACGAGGTTCCGTCAACCCACCGTTTTAAGTGAACCCAAATTGGACTGTTTTTAATAAATACACTCATTTGCAAATCAATTTGGTTTTCACGAGAGGCCAAGCTGATTCTCTCATTTTATGATATTCTACAATTGAATGTGCTACACACAGGTCGCCTCATGTTTCAGTTGTCACGATATTCGAGGTATCGCAGTAGATTTTCACGAAAGGCGAAACCGGTCGTGGGCTGTCGAAGAGTTTTGAGTAAACTTGCGAGTAGTTTCCTTTATGAAAATATACTGCAATATCTCGAATGTCGTGCCAACTGAAACATGAGACGGCCTGTGTGCAGCACATTCTCGTGAAAACCTAATTGATTTGCAATTGAGTGTATTTCTCGTAATACATAAATCATTTTTTGGTGAGCACCCAGGTCCTTTTGATTCATGAGCACCGATTCATTTCCCTCTTCCGCTTTGGTGACGTGGATCGACTTATCTATTTCATTGAATTTCCTGCACCTTTCTTCCCCCGCGACAGATTACTTCGGATTGGCCACCGTAGTTAAGTAGCCTAGCTTACTCTAATCTCTCTACTGGAAGCTTCGAGAATGCAAGCTCTATATCCGGGATTTTGCTTCACGGCAGTTTTTCGGGTAAAGTTGGAGCGTAAGTGGATAAGCGGACGTAATTAAATCCGGGATGTTGTATTTACTGCTTCTTTTTCGATCGCAGTGAACCATCCGGCGTTCAACAACTGATAGTGACTTGAGGATACTGTGGTTGCGAGTGAATCACTATTTGGAGACACGATTGATCACCCGATTCGTATATTTCTCTGATAACCTAGTCCGATTTTTGACAAGGTTTAGAAGTTCCGGACCAAACCGCACTTGTTGAACAAATTGAGCGCCATGTGGTGTACTGATATAGGAAGTTTAAGGTTGAAACACAGCGAAGTGGAATTAGACGTTATAGTCAGACATGCCTGTCGCTCAGGGCCGGCTAGCAGGTAAGATTGTCTTGCGTCGAATGGTGAAAGTGCACGACGCTGATTGACGAAAGACGATATATTGGAAAGTACGCAACACTGAAACATCTTGGTGGGAACGATTTGTGCATGCGTTGAGAGTACACAATCTTATGACAGGACAGCTTTAATTTAAGTCATTATGGTTGTCTGTGTGCTGTACAGGGCAAGCCCGAAGGGATCATTTTGGAAGCCAGATGACCTCCTTTACACAATCACTGATGAATCAATTACGAATTAATGATTGCAACTTACCTTTGGGTCCAAATAAACTTTGGTAACATGGTTTCGTACAGTATGGTTTGCCTTCATGCTGAGTAATGAAAACGGATTAGTAGAAATGTGTGGTGACTGACGTGATTCCTTGTGACATATAGGTAGAATTACAAAAGCGAAAGGTTAAGCAAAACGGGTCAGCTTTAACGCAATTATTCAGCTTTCTAAACAATCACCAAGAAGTACACACTACACGTGAGCAGAGTTCATCTGAATTGCAAAAATATCACACAACCTATGAGGATACGTGTTGTCTCAATACTAGGACAAGGTTAAAAATGTTGTGAAAACTGTTTTTCTGTTCAAACTATATGCCGACGAGCGAACTGAAAGTTGATTAAAAGTGGAATAAGACGGGGACTAAGTCTAAGGAAGACTCTATGGATCAAACCTCGGTTTAATATACATAATCGATTTTCTTCGTTCAAAGAGGAACCATCGTACAGAAGGAAACCATTCACATGTTCACGTGAGGTACGTCCTTGGAAGCGAGGTCACAAGCGAAAGGAAAGTTGTTTGTGAACTGGCTTCCTCTCGGAGGTTTTTCACAACTCTACACATTGAACTGAAAGCACCCTGGAAACTGCTTGCTTTCGAGAATGGTGTTTGAGGAGGAATCTAAAAGAGGGTATAGTTAAGCGACGCTCACCTTCAGGCAACTGGGCAAATGATGTGCCGAGTTAATATACGGTATCCAGTGGAAGCTCTCAGAGCCAATGCAGTTATGCCAGTAACTGGGGTATGTTGGATACATCTAACCGTCATAATCGCGAATTTGTGGGGAAAACGTAACTAGTACTCGCTGCTTGCTAGGAGGCTACACATTTCGCATGGTGCGGAATCCCCTGTCTCGAAGCAAACGTCTTTTCCCGGCCGTATACTGTCGAGTGAGAACGTTCTGACTGCAGTCAGCCAATGTGAGGACTACAAACTATTGACGCATTTAACGACAGCTCATTGTCGATCCTAGGCTTGAAGGGATGGTACGCATATCTGGAGGTAGATTAAAACAGTCACCAACGTGGCCGTTATTCTGAATTCGATCAATCATGTTCGACGTTTAACCGTTTCTTCCTTACTTTGGCGAAAATTGTGACGACAAGTAACATGATCCACGCGGAGCTCTTTCAACCTATCACCTCCAGTGCGGGAGAGTTGTGATGAT